ATACTGTTGCCTTAGAACCATGAGGTGGACCATGTTTACTCTTGCCTTTACGAAGTTTACAAGCTTATTACGAATGCACGGGCCTATGGTCAAAGCTACCACAGGCATCACAAGGGGCCCGAGAAGGGTGGATATAAGGGTGGTCAGCCAAGGGGGTCGATTAAACCAGGCCTCAAACCATCCCTCCTGTGACATCCGCTCTCTTTCTCGTCTGGCTAAACCTTCCCGCACCTTTGCCATGTTTTCTCAGACTACCCCTGTATAATCAGCATAAAAGCAACATTCCTCCCCCAGTGCTGCGCAAACCCCACCCTCCCTTGTTGCAGGAAGACTAAGTCTAACCCCCTTCTGTTTTGCCGTACTACTTCTGACAAAGAGCTTAAGGACTTTTCTAAATGGGCGATGGAGTCTTCTATTCTCTTCATGTCTGAGTCAACAGCCGCCCTCAGAGCTGTCAGTCTCTGGCCTTGGGTAGACAGGGCAGCAATTCCTGTCCCAGCCCCCGCTAACCCTAGACCTAAGAGTGTTGCCAGTGTTATTGCAGTTACTGGCTCCCGATGGACCCTGTACCTTAAATGCCCTTCCCAGTGGGCATATATTTCTTCTCCCATGTGATATAACACCCTTGACAAAATAACTATCATTGCACAGAACTCCTTGGAGGCATTGAAAACCCTACTGTGAATACACGGGGTGAGTCCTGTTTTTGAGCATATCCACCACCCCTCTCTCCCTGGAATGACCCATTTAGACTTTCCAGTATTGTTAAAACTAATGGCACAAAAGTCCTGCCTGGCCTTTGGGACCGCCACACACAGGAACCCATCCCCAGAGACTTCCTGTAGAGTTATCCCAGGTTTCTCCTGAGGGTTGCAATTACAGAATTGGCTGGTGTTGGCTTCGACAGGGGTTGCATTCAGTCCCACTGCCTCATAACAAGGTGGTCTGACACCGTAACACAGCCAACAGGCTTTGGTTACCTCAGGGGTAGAGTGATTTAGCACACTCGCATAACACCCCACAGCAGACCCCCATGCAGAGTGTTCCCTTCCTCAGGGTCATGAGTATTGTGGGTTTTTTTCCCAGCCCAGGAGTGGGGGTTGCGAGACCAACAGGGGAAGGTTTTGGACCTGTCAGTCAGCCCCTATTTTTCTTTTTATACTTTGATTACTTTATTTGGCCCTAGCATTACTGGGGGCGAGATTACACTTGTCTTAGCCTAACTGTAAACAACACTCCAGGGTCCTTCCTGGGGCCTTTTTGCCTTCCTCTGTGAAGGTAAGAACAACCTGATTACAGGCCTTAGGAGATGACACTTCTCACCGCAGAGTTTCCTACTCCTGTCATTGGAAGATAAAGATTGCTGCGTCCACAACACAGAGTACTGCCCAGGAGTAGAGAAAGCAAGTTTGCAGGGGCATGTGCTGGACCGGTTTCGTTTTGTCTGATGTAATCACCTAAGCTATCACTAATCCAATACCCTGACCCGGTGGCCTCGTAACCCCAGCTCTTACAGAAATAGTTTTCTGGCCCCCCACACTTCCAAATATTGCTTTTATGTCCAGGGCATACGTAAAACTCGAGTTTCTTCAGCCAAGCGATGCCGACAATGCTGTCGCTCGGCACAGTGTATAGGACATAACTTGGACACCAACATCCCATGTCGGAGTGGGTTTGATTTCTGGCTTCCTCTCCAATTTCCAGCTCCCTGCTAACGCACATAATGCTGATGCTGGGAGGCAGCAGGTGATGGCTCATGTACTTGGGTTTCTACGACCCTTGTGGGAGACCCTGATGGGATTCTGGACTCCTGGGCCAGTCATGGCTGCTGCTGCTGCTGCTGCTGCTGCAGCTGGCATTTGGGGAGTAAAGAAAACAAAACGGTCCCTCTGTCTGCCTTTTAAATAAATTTTTAAAAATTGACAAATTTTAAAGAATATACCACAATTTGTTTGTCCAACTATTTTTGGACAGTGTGTTAGTCCCAGTTTTTGCTATTGCAAACAATGTTACTATGAACATTCTTAAATCTTTCTCTTAATCCACATGCCCAAGAATGTTTATAGGATGGATATATAAAAGTGGAATGGTTGGGTTTTAAGGCATATGTATGGCCAAATTTTCGAGGTGACATCAGCAGTGTATAAAAGTTCCCCTTGCCCTACATCTTGGGGAGCACTTGTTTTCTTTGTGAGTGTGAAACAATTTCTCATAGTGGCTGTATTTGTCTCCCCCTAATTACCAGTAAAATTGAATTTCCTCTGAGTCATGGGCTGCCTGTTGTCCCCAGGCACATGCTTTCGGGCCTCATTCAGAATCCCTTCCCGCTCCTACATAGTAAATAGGACCTCGAGGAGTTGCTGGCAATTGTCTGAAGTAGGGTTATGGGTAAATAAAATAGAATCTAAAAGGCCAATAAGATCCTGTGGTTTTTCTGAGAAAGGGGCATGTTGAGCCTTTCAATTATAGAGGTCACAAGTGGAAAATGGCCAATATTGCTACACACGCTCCCCGTTCGCCCCTGGAGGCCCTATGACCCACAATGGAAATGGATGCACCATAGAGGATGAAACCAAACCTTCCTCCTGTAGGCGGTGATGATTACGGGTGCCATAAGCAGTCCCACATTGAGAGTGGAGGTGGGGAGGTAGAGTGCTCGCCCCCTCAGCTCCCGAGGAAAGCTGAGCTACTTGAGGGGGTGGCGGTACATATGGTGGAGGTACCTGCATCTCCCCAACCTCTAAATCTAAGAGACTAGGGTAATATCTGAGTGAGACAGAACTTGGGTTTTTCTGCCCCCCTTGTTGAGGCAAATCCTTGCATGCCTCTGCCTTCTCCCTAGGTCATTTTGCCACTAGAATCCTCCGCCCCTCCACTTCAGGGGGCACAAAGTCAAAATGTTTCAGCCAAGGCAGGGGGTTCACCATCATATCCTGCCACATTAGGATGCAGTATAACTGGTCTGGGTGTCCCTGGTGCTCCGGTCTCTGTATCTTCTCTTTGACCCTGCTTATTCTTGCTTGGTCAAATGTCCTCACTGGGGGCCAGCCTACCTCAAATGCGGGCCACTCAGTTGAACAAACAGTTACCAATTTACCTTTTTTCACTTCCACAGAGAGGGCATGAACCCTGCATGGAAATCCAGGAAGTGTGAAGTGATCAATGACAGTGGCTGGCCCATGGTTCCTTACCACTCTCTGAGTTAAAGCCGTGGAGAGAAACAAGAAAACAGAGACACACAAAGACAAGACAATAGCACGTTCTGGACTGTAGAAAAGGAGACAAATTCTCACTGACAGCCGTAAACTATGCCATATATGTGTGTGTGTGTGTGTGTGTGTGTGTGTGTATACATGTATATACATATATACGTGCCTTCCACCACATATATACACATATATATGTATATACGTGTGTGTATATATATATGTGTATATATATATATATATATTGCTCTGTGGGAGCGACCCACTTTGTCTTAGTCCAAATTATTCAATCCTAACAGTGCACACACCCTTACCTTGAGGTTCTTGGCCAGCAGGGACGTCTCCCTGCTGCCAGATGGAGGCCCCCAGCACGTCCACTTATGGCCACATGCCGTTCTCCCTCTAGTTCTCCATTAGATTACCCCTTACATCTACCAGACTCCTCCGCTGGTACTTCAGAGTCTGTAGCCCTCTTATGAAAAGACTGGATCTTGATGTTGCCCTACAAATAAAATCCCACTATGGTGAGGGGCCACTTCCCATGGGACTCTCCAAAAGGCAGATCCCAGATGAGCCCCCAGATGTTGCGTCCCAGATCTCTCAGATGGAAAGAACCAGCAAGACCCACCATAATGCAAAGAACAAAGGGACTTTATTACAGGTCCAGCATGCTGGGGCCTGGCCTCCCATGCAATGCAGTGCAGGGAGATCAAGACCCTCTTTCTTTGTTCCTAGGTTTTTTATACTTCCCAGGTCAACAAGTATTATATCCACATTCCTTCTTTCCCCATATGGCCATACATTGAGCCCACCCAGCTCATTGGTGGCCCCCACCTGGCCCTGCTGGACTAAGGACAGCCCACCTCATTGGTTGCCCCCATCTGGCCCTGCTGGACCAAGGACTGCCCAGTGTCAGGTTTCATCTTCCCGCAACAGGGGCATCCTGGGCCTAGCTGGTTCCTTTGTCTTGTGAGAAGCCTGTCATGGCATGGCGCTGGCCTCTCACACTACTATTGGTTCCATTTGAGGAGAATGTTCCAGTTGGTTTTGCATTGAATGAAGAACTGCTCAATCAGGGATTGAAAACTGATGTGATTCCACCTATGACCCCCAGGGGGCGGCAGTGCACCTTAGGTCTGGTAGTGAAGAGGCATCGGGAAGATGGGGACTCACAACCTTGTCTAGACTCTAGAGGAACAGTGGTTTCTCTGATAACCCTTGGTTGAATTTTGTTTAGTGGAAGGTTAAGCTGGTGATAATAAGTCAAAAGTATGTCAGTGTAAACTTAAAGAAAAAGAAGGGGGGGGGGAGTGAGGAAAGAGAGAGGACATGGTGGGAAGTGGCATGATGCTGTCACAACTGTGGATATATGATAGGCTGGGTTGTGTAGTGGTTGCAGGCACCAAAGGCAGTGCCAGTATCCCACATGTGTGCCAGTTGGAGTCCAGGCTTCTTATCTTCCAATCCAGCTCCCTGCTTGGCCTGAGAAAGCACCTGCAGCTGGCCCTCATGTTTGAGCTCCAGCACCCATGTGAGGGAATGAAGGAAGTTCTCTCTCCTAGCTCTTACAGGCACTGCTTGGCCATTGCAGCCATTGGGGAGTGAACAAGAGAATGGTAGAGAACTCTCTATATTTCTCCCTCAAAGTCTCATTCTCTCTCTCTCTCTCTCTCTCTCTCTCTCTCTCTCTCTCTCTCCCAGTGTGTGTGTGTGTGTCAGTGTAGCAGAGACTTTCAATAAGCAAAGAAATCCTTTTAAAAAACTGTAGCTATGAAATTGATACCGTTTATAGAATTTATATAATCACTTGTATTTGAACTCATTTTGCTTGGAATACATATAATGATTTCTCTTTTACTCGATGAATCCAAAATGATGCTCAAGCTTTGAATACTCAGACAGAATAATTCATTTCCTTTAGAACAGCAGGGACATGGTCATGTCGGTGCTGTTGCTTTCCTGGGTGGTTTTTATTAGGGCTTGTAACACTGTGGTACCAGCACTACTACTATAAATGCTTTGACAGTAGTAAGTGGCAGCATCGTCACACTGCACGCCACTGATGGTGAGAGTGAACTGTGTCCCAGATCCACTGCCTTTGAACCGCGATGGGACCCCAGATGCCAGAGTGGATGCCCAGTAGATCAGGAGCTTGGGAGGCTGCCCTGGTTTCTGCTGATACCAGGATAGTTGGTTGCTAATGCTCTGACTGGCCTGGCAATTGATGGTGACTGTGCCTCCCACAGCGGCAGACACGGAGGATGGAGTCTGGGTCATATCATAGGCACATCTGGCACCTGAGGAGGGAAACAGAAACACAGAGACCACACTCATCCTCATGTTCTAAGAGGACGCTCCTGCAGAGACGGGCAGCCCTGGACACACTGCCCGAGGCCGTTCCTGCTGCTGGCCTTCCTTACCTGGGAGCCAGAGCAGCAGGAGCCCCAGCAGCTGAGGGGGGCCCTCGTGTCCATGCTGGGTCCTGCCTGGCACTGCCTCCTGCATGGGGCGGGAGCAGCCTGCTCCTAAATGCCCAGAGAGGTGGGCGGTGCTCTGGGGACATGCAAATGAGCAGGGGCAGGGCAGGGCTGTGCCCAGCTGAAGGGCCCAGGGCAGCTCAGAACTCAGCCCAGGGGCTGTGTCTCCAGCTGCCCCAGCTCAGACCAGGGCTGCACAAGGTTACCTGAGGTGCGCATGCTTCTACCGGGTGATGTCACCTCCCAGAGTCACTGAGGGAAATTTCCAACACTTTAAGCGAACTGGCAGACAGTTGTTGTCATGCATTCATGGTTATGTGGGGATTCTGGAGGAAAACGTCTCTTTTCTAGAGAATAGTTAACACCTTCTAGCCTAGGGCCATGTCTTTTCTTGAGTGTTCTGATGCCCTCACATTGAAAGTTCACGGAGACCGCTGCACCAGGGAGATGGTCTCTGAGAGACGAGACTTCTGTCCACACTCACCTCTGTACTGACTCAGAATAAACATTCTCAGAACAAGCAGCTGCCAGAGACCAGGACTCAGAAGGAGAACGCAGGTGCTTAGAGGAGAGATCACACGTGTGCACTCTCCATCGGCAGCCAGAGTTCTGAGTCAGGACACAAGAAGAAACAACGGGTGAAAGTTTCAAGAGGTCACCATAGGTCTGAGGAATATCAAGAAAATAACTTCCCTCTCCCCTCTGTCCTGAAACTTTCAGGTTTTTCTTAACATCCGGAAAGGAGAGAAGTCCAGCATCGTGGCACAGTGGATATGCCTGCCACTTGCATGCCAGCAGCATATACCGGAGACTGGTTTGAATCCCCACTGCTCCACTTTTGATCCCATTTCCTGCTAATACGCACCCAGGGAGGCAACAGAAAATGGCCCAAGTTCTTGGATTCCTGCCCCACAGGGGAGACCAGGGGCAGTTCTGGCTCTGGGCTTCTGCTTGGCCAGGAACTCACTGTTACAGCCATTTGTAGAGTAAACCAGGTTATGGAATATATCTCTATCTCTCTCTCTCTCTGTCTTGCTCTCTCTCTCTCTCTCTCTCTCTTCTCTCTTCCTCTCAATTGCTCTCTGTCTTTGCCTCTCTCCAATTGTCAGGTTTCAGGTAAATAAATATTTTGAAAAATAGAAAATGGTACCATGGAAGAAAGTTAACATCACTAGAAACACACCCTCTTAAAACTGGGCTCCATTTGTGGTTATCTCCAGTGTCAGGACACTGATTCTTGCCACTGACCTCAGTGTTGCCTGGTTTCCTGCCACAGAAACGTGAGACACTCAAAACTTTTGCAGCAATCATAGGATGCTTTGGCTCTGTGACCATTACTGAGACCACACCTTAGCTTTTTCCTGGAAACACAAGTGTAGAACTGACTGATACGTTTCTCTGCCTCAGTCCCTGTCTAGGCTGAGACTGAGGATGCACAAATGCACCTGGACACCCACAGGCCCCTTGTCCTGAGCAATCGTGCTGCCCAGGGGAGGCCTCTACCATGGAGCTGAGAGGGAGCAGAGGTAGAACGTCATTGGTTTATTATCTGCCCTGCCTGACTTGTGCCAATTCTTCTATGCCTAAGGTTGTACTACTGTTATTTGTGTACAGATGGGTACAAACAATGAGGCTGCTATTGGTGCAATTCGATGAGAATTTTTACTGGTTTTGGATTCCATGAAGAACTGCTCTATCAGGAATTGAAAGCTGACGCATTTCCACCTCGTCTTGCTGGAAGATCCCTTCTTCCACCCGCACGGGCCTTGAAAAGGCACCCGGCCATGCTGGAGTCTGTCCCAACATCTGCGCACACCTGACATTTCCAGCCCAATCAGCACAAGGCCGTCGGTTCTGCTGCCACCCGAGGGGGCTCACACCCGGCAGCTTCCCCAGGGCATCTTCCGGAAGCGAGTGCAGCCCAGCTGACACCTGAGCTGTGGTTCTGTGGGCTGCGAGACGGGGAGCGTCTCCTGCATTTCCTTCCTATATTCCATATTGCAGCTATCTCAGCTCTAATACGTGAGAAAGCAGTCACTCTGCCCCCCTTTGCCACTACGGAAAGAAAATCTAACTGCTACTTGGGGCTCTTTCATGGCCAATACTCCTCTTTCTAAACTTTAGGACAGGACGACACCACGGCTCACTAGGCTAATCCTCCGCCTTGCGGCGCCGGCACACCGGGTTCTAGTCAGGGTTGGGGCGCCGGATTCTGTCCTGGTTGCCCCTCTTCCAGGCCAGCTCTCTGCTGTGGCCAGGCAGTGCAGTGGAAGATGGCCCAGGTCCTTGGGCCCTGCACCCCAGGGGAGACCAGGAGAAGCACCTGGCTCCTGCCATCGGATCAAGCGCTTTGCGCCGGCCACAGCGCGCCGGCCGCGGCGGCCATTGGAGGGTGAACCAACTGTAAAGGAAGACCTTTCTCTCTGTCTCTCTCACTGTCTCTCTCACTGTCCACTCTGCCTGTCAAAAAATAAAAAAAAAAGAAACAATGAAGCTACTATTGATTCAAATCGATGAGAATTTTCTATTTGATTTTGGACTGCATGAAGAACTGCTCAATCAGGGATTGAAAGCTGTCATGATTCCACCAGTGACCCCCAGGGGGAGCCAGTGAACCTCAGGTCTGGTAGTGACAGAGGGCTTGGGAGGACTGAGGCTCACAGCCTTGTCTAGAATCTGGAGGAACAGTGGTTTTTCTGCTCACTCCTCATTGAATTCTTTGTTTACTGGAAGGTTAACCTGGTGGTAATAAATTGAACGTGTGACCATGTAAAACTTAAAAGAAAAAGAGAGAAGTGGGTGGGAGTGGGGAAGGAGGGAGGGCATGGTGGGAAGAGGCATTATGTTCTCACAACTGTGGACAGGATGGGCCAGCCTTGTACAGTGGGCAAAGCAGCCAAAGGCAGCACCAGCATCCACATGGGCACCGGTGGGAGTCCTGGCTGCTCCACTTCCACTCCAGCTCCCTGTTTAGCCTGGGAAAGCTCCTGTAGATGGCTCCAGTGTTGGAGCCCTGGCACCCATGTGGGAGACCTGAGAGAAGCTCCATCTCCAGCTCTTGCCAGGCACTGCCTCAGCCACTGCAGCCATTGGAGGAGAGACCAGCAGATGGAAGGGAACTCTATGCAACTGTGTGTGTCTGTCTGTCTGTCTGTGTGTAAAACACGACTTTCAAAAAGCAAACGAAATTTATTAAATTACTGTAGATATGAAATTGGTTTCTTACATAAAATTTTATAATCACCAGTATTTAAAATATTTTTCCTTGTAATAATTGTAGTGTTCTCTGTTTTGTTCTATGAATCTACACTGATGTCCAGCTTTGAAATCTCAGAAAGAATAATTGACTTCCTTTAGAACAGTAGGGACATGGTCATGTCTGTGCTGCAACCGCCAAGGAGGAGGAAATGAGGGAGCCTCAGAGGAGTCAGCCTGGCCCCTTCCACCCGACCCTGCAGGACCTTCAAGCCTGGCTGCTCTGAGAATCACTCTCAGCAGATGGGGCCCAGGAGGAGCAGCTGGGGCAGCCCAGCCTCACACTCCTGCTTTCCTGGGGGGTTTTTGTTAGGGCTTGGAACACCGTGGTATCAACATTATTGTAATTATAATCCTGTTGACAGTAGTAAGTGGCAGCATCGGCACACTGCACGCCACTGATGGTGAGAGTGAACTGTGTCCCAGATCCACTGCCGCTGAACCGTGATGGGACCCCAGATGCCAGAGTGGATGCCCTGTAGATCAGGAGCTTGGGAGGCTGCCCTGGTTTCTGCTGATACCAGGCTAACCAACTGCTAATGCTCTCACTGGCCTGGCACTTGATGGTGACTGTGCCTCCCACAGCTGCAGACACGGAGGCTGGAGTCTGGGTCATCACAATTTGGGCAAATGTGGCACCTGAGAAGGGAAAGAGAAACACCGAGACCACACTCATCCTCACGTTCTAAGAGGACGCTCCTGCAGAGACGGGCAGCCCTGGCCACACTGCCTGAGGCCGTTCCTGCTGCTGGCCTTCCTTACCTGGGAGCCAGAGCAGCAGGAGCCCCAGCAGCTGAGTGGGGGCCCTCGTGTCCATGCTGGGTCCTGCCTGGCACTGCCTCCTGCATGGGGCGGGAGCAGCCTGCTCCTAAATGCCCAGAGAGGTGGGCGGTGCTCTGGGGACATGCAAATGAGCAGGGGCGGGGCAGGGCTGTGCCCAGCTGAAGGGCCCAGGGAAGCTCAGAACTCAGCCCAGGGGCTGTGTCTCCACTGCCCCAGCTCAGACCAGGGCTGCACACGTTTACATGCAGTGCACATGTTTATACCAGGATATGTCACATCCCAAAGTCACTGAGGGACACTTACAAAAATTTAGCTGAACTGATGACCTGATCCTATAATCTATTCATGGTTATTTGATTCTATAGAAGAAAGTCCATTTTCTAGGAAATACTTAGTTACACCTTAAAACTGAGGTCATTGTCTTTTCTTGTTTTTCCTCTGATGCCCTCACATTGTCCCCTCACGGCAGACCACTGTACCAGGGAGATGGTCTCTGAGAGATGAGACTTCTGTCCCACACTCACCTCTGTACTGACTCAGAATAAACATCCTCAGAATAAGCGGCTGCCATAGAGAGACCAGGACTCAGAAGGAGAACGCAAGTGCTTAGATGAGAGATCACACACCGATTTGACTCTCGGCTCACCATGGGAGCTTTCTCTTACCATGTTCCATCAGATTAGCCTCCTAGATAATATGGTCCCTCTCAAATTGGCTCTAGCCCTCAAACGTCAACACCTCACCTTTCTGTGTAATCGAGCATAGCCCATGTATGACCTTTACAGTCAATCAAAGTGGTACCCTCCATGGTATGTTTAACCCTGATATCATTCAAGACCTTTATCACTTCCGTGAGAGTTTGGGAAAATGGAAGGAGATCCCATAGGCTCAAGCTTTTCTGTCTTCAATCTAAACCTTCTATGCCTACTTCCTGCTCTCTGGCCCAGGTCCTATTGGCTTCCTAAGTTCCCACTAGAGGCCAAGGGCCTGAGCCGAAATGTCTGCCTTCTATGTTTGGGGCCCCAACTCTTCACTGTCTCGGCTCCCTGTACCTCCCCCTCCCACCCGGGAGTTCTGACTTTATCTTAGCACCAGGCCTGGTCCAAAGTCTCCTCTCCCAGTCTTACCAATGATCTTCTGGCAAGTTTGGGGATGGCTGTCTCCATGCTGTCACTCTCCAAACCTTGTCCTCCAACTGGTCTTTTGCCCCTCCCTCTCTCCCCTCTCTCCTTCCAGTTTTACCATAAGAAAAGCGAGGGAGTGGTAATTCCATCCTAAGCTCCCTGCTTACAGAGAAACAAATTAGGTATCCCACACTTCTGATGGCTATTTGTTTTATCTTGAGCAAGCCAGACAGGAAAATCAGGTCTCTTGATCTCCACTTCTTGTCCTTGGTGCTTCGACCTTTGGCCCACAGGCACTTTGGGAACTGACTGGCAGCTGCCTGTACTTTTGCTTCAGAGGCAGTCCCAAGTGGCTGACTGTTGGCTATAACATCATGGGCCTAAGGTGTTTCTGGTGTAAAAAAAAAAAAAAGCAACTGTAACTAGACACTGAGTTTGAAGAAATTTCTCTCTTTGAATCTAGGAAGATCAGTACCTTTAAAAATATTGCTTTGTCACTTGCTGAACTTATTTTGCAATTTATTTTAACAGGTTTCTAGGCAATCAGTACTCAATGAAACAGCAATGGGTGATTAGTACTTGTTTTAGATGAATGCAATTTTAATTTTCATTGCATTCAGATAGAGATATAATATAATATCAGCATCTTAAGTCATTGAGGTGTAAGTGCTAATTTAAATTGGGTAAAGACAAATGAGAAAATGTGTCCAAAAGTAAACTTTGGTACTCAGCATGTTATATTCTATAGAAGAACTAATTGGGTTTGTTAAACAAATATGTTTTCACAAACTATCCATGAAAAATAGTTCAACACTGCTTAAAATAACTCAGGCTGAAATTCATGTTTCCTTATTCAAAATTCTTGTCTTAATGTGGAGATTTTTTTAACAGGTAAATCAAGAACATTGGCAGATGGGGGACCAGTGCTGTGGCTCACTTGGTTAATCCTCCACCTGTGGCACCAGCATCCCATATGGGCAACGAAGAGCAGAAAGTAATCTGAATCAATTGGTAACCTAAAAAACAAGAGTTTAAAAAGAATTGTCAAAATTGTTTTATTGTTCTATCACTTATGTTATATGTGTATACATATTGTATGTCTACATGGGAAAATTCATTAAGAACTTTATTTTTTTGGCTTATAGATAAAAAATCGTCCATAAATTTAAACTGCTAAAATTAATCAAAGATACCTTTGATTCATGTGACCTGAATCTCTATATCAGATATTTTAACTTAGTTGGTAGAAAGAAACTATGAAGGTTTCTCTATGTTTGTGCTTGAATTTGCTGGTTAAACAAGCTACACCATGTTAGATATTTAAGAGATGTTTCCAAATACATGTGTTCTTAACATATATGGAAGGCATTGGACCTTCTGGTAAATGTGTCCTAAGTTGTCATTTAATGGTTGAAATTATTTGCTAAGTTTTCATTTGATAATGCTATGGTCAGTAAGCAATCTGGGACTTGCTCCCTCATCTCTCTATTCTAAGCCCAACTTGTCCTCTCATTTCTCTATTCTCTTCAAGGTAGGAAACTAACTCTATTCCGACAGACTCTCCAAGATACACAATTTGATTTTTAGACCTTAAAAAGGGGATGGCTAACAGATTTCTGTAATAGCATAGCTAAAAGGAAAGCTTAAATTATAATTTCACAGCTAGATTTACTTCGCCATGGGCACAGTAAACAGGCAAAACGTCCCTTTCATACAAAAACAGGGAGAGAAAGTTTGAAAGTGAGGACATAGCTTTCCTCATGTGCATTGTCTACCTCAGGGAAAACCACGATCAGAACATGCCTGTGACTATAAACTTCTAGTTTAAGTCACCAAATCCCAGCTTCAGGAGCTTCCAGACACCACAGCCCTGCTACCTCCAGGGTTTCTTCCAGGGAGACCTCAGAGCTCCTAACCTCAACAATAGTACCTGGATTTGAGCCAAAGAGAATGGAATAATTCATTACAGCAACAATTCACCAGGCAAACACAAAGGAAGTAAACGCCTTTCACCTCCCTCCATGATCCTGCTTTGACATCCCAAAGCTTTATTTGTTCTCATTGGGTGTCTTCACAAGAGGCAAATGGCAGTTTATTGTGAGGGGAGTTAGCACAGCATTCTCTCAGATACAGATCTGCTGGGTGAAACACTTGGATGATCTCTCTTCAGTCTAGGCAGAGGGATCAGCAAGCAAAGTCACTTGCAGTGTGAAATGCTTATAAGAGAACTGTATTTGGTGGACAATTTGCAGAAGGAACTGCATGACAGGTGTGAGCCAACATGGACTGAAGCAGGGGTGCAGTGAACGGTGCATCTCACACCATCCTGGTTGTGCCTCTGGTCCTGCTGTGTAAGACAGGGCCTCCTCTATAGAGGGAACATTGCCATGTGGAATGAAAATACAGAGAGATTTGCAGACCTGGGTTGGATCTAGCCTGCGTGTTCAGTCACCATTGTATTCTAGACAAACGATCCATGGCTCTGAGATTTGACCATGAGACAAGCAGAATTCTGGTCTATCAATCAGCTCCTGTAGGCAGTGCCCTAAACAGAGGGGTGTGGGAAAACCACCAGTGAGTGCTGCAGGCAGTGAGAGCACCAGCGCCCCCACCCCAGGGCTTCCAGGACAGGGCTGAGGACAGGAGGGGCAGCACCTGTGCCTTCTTCCCCAGAGGTGCTTGGCCTCTAGGAGAGATCTGAGAGTCTCTGTGTCCACGATCTCCTTCTCTGATAGCCGTTCTCCCAGGAAATTAAAGGCTATCATAAGACTCCCTCACTTCATTTAAACTATTTCTTCTTGCCATACCTATAATATTTTCTATTTGCTGTATGAATACAAAATGATACAAAACAGTCAAATACTCCAGTAGAATAATTGCTGTCCTTAAAATAGTAGGGACATAACCAAGTCTGTGCTGCTGCCACCAAGGAAGAAATGAGGTAGCCTCTAGGAGTCACCCTGGCCCCTTCCACCTGCCCCAGTAGGGACCTTCAAGCCTGGCTGCTCTGAGAATCACTCTCAGCAGATGGGGCCCAGGAGCAGCAGCTGGGGCAGCCCAGCCTCACACTTCTGCTTTCCTCGGGGGGGAGGGAGTTGTTAGGGCTTGGAACACTGTGGTACCAACCACTATTATAATAACCGCCTTGACAGTAGTAAGTGGCAGCATCGTCACACTGCACGCCGCTGATGGTGAGAGTGAACTGTGTCCCAGATCCACTGCCACTGAACCGCGATGGGACCCCAGATGCCAGTTTGGATGCTTCGTAGATCAGGAGCTTGGGAGGCTGCCCTGGTTTCTGCTGATACCAGGCTAACCAACTGCTAATGCTCTCACTGGCTTGGCAATTGATGGTGATTGTGCCTCCCACAGCTGCCTCCACGGAGGCTGGAGTCTGGGTCATATCGATGGCACATCTGGCACCTGAGAAGGGAAACAGAAACACAGAGACCACACTCATCCTCACGTTCTAAGAGGACGTTCCTGCAGAGATGGGCAGCCCTGGCCACACTGCCCGAGGCCGTTCCTGCTGCTGGCCTTCCTTACCTGGGAGCCAGAGCAGCAGGAGCCCCAGCAGCTGAGTGGGGGCCTTGTGTCCATGCTGGGTCCTGCCTGGCACTGCCTCCTGCATAGGGCGGGAGCAGCCTGCTCCTAAATGCCCAGAGAGGTGGGCGGTGCTCTGGGGGCATGCAAATGAGCAGGGGCGGGGCAGGGCTGTGCCCAGCTGAAGGGCCCAGGAAAGCTCAGAACTCAGCCCAGGGGCTGTGTCTCAGTTGACCCAGCTCAAACCAGGGCTGCGCAAGTGTACCTGTAGTGCACATGTTTCTACCACAAGATGTGACATCCCAAAATCTCTGAAGGACTTTTACCAACACTTTAACTGAGCTGGAAGACAAGTTGTTGTCATTTATTCTTGGTTATGTTGGGATTCTGTAGGAGAAAGTCACTTTTCTAGAGAATAGTTAACACCTAGGGCCATGTCTTTTCTTGT